AATTTGTGGGGGATGGTTCATTTTTCAGATTATCACTTCCCCTCTCTAAAATCTCTCTCTCTCTCTCTCTCTCTCTCTCTCTCTCAGCCAAAGCTCTCATCGCCCTCACCGGCAAATTGCCAGCCCTCCTCTGGTGAACCACCACCACACTAGCGTTCCTCACAGTGCCCCCAACTTGATCGTAGGCTCAGCCCTGCCGGAACTTCACGAGAGAGACTCGAACTGGCCTGATCTTCCTCCCAGCTTTAAGGCCATTCTCTACGCTGGTACTGCTGCCTGGCGACTTCTAGCCTCTGTTCTAGCGGTCTGTGGCCATCCGTTGGCATCCCTAGCCTTGTGATCAGCCTCCCTAGCTTGTCCCTAAAGCCGTGGTGGCCGACATTCATCAAAACAGCCACCGGATTCTCCATTTTCGCTCAATTTCACTTGATAGTTGCTAGGTTTTCTTTTAACTTCTTCGAATCCTATTCTCACTTTGATCTTTAATGCTGTGATTAAGATCTTAGAGAGCTATTCTCGACGCTATTTTGAAGTGCATTGGTGGTCAAATAGCTCTATTGAACAAGGTATGTGACATCTAAACTTAGAATAAGATGTGGAGGATGAATGATATGGCCAAATATACTTGTGGAGTTGTGAAGGCCAATTGTTGATATTGAAGTTGTTGTGATAGCCTTAGAGTGCTGATTGAATGGCTTGTGATTTGTAGAAATGGTTTGACATTTTCTTGTTACTTGATTGATGATTGATTGCTCGATCTGAAAAATCATGCCTCACTAAACTAGTTAGCTTTGATTGATGATATGAGCTTGAAAACTTCGAAATCTCATGAAGTGTTTGACTAGTGAATCAAAGTTAACATCCTAAGTTTTGACTTGATAGGTCGTGTGTCGAGATTGAACATTGTTTGCTAATCGTCATTGTGATTTCAAGTCAAAATTTGGGAAAATAAGTATTTTGTTCTGTGTTAATATGTTCCTGACCGACCTTGTCTAGTTTGGCAATTTTTATGATTTTTTTTGCTCATAATCTGGGAAAAGTGTCTTCATAAAAGTGGTCAAAAAGCATCCCAATCTTTCAAATCTAAAAATTTCATGAAGTTTCGTGGTGGTTTGATCTGTACGATTCATGCTTGAAGAAGATGTTTTGAAACTGTATTTCGATTTCAAAAATTCCAGTTCTGTGAACAAGTTTTGATTAGCAAATTTGAGGTAGTTCGAGGCCCTTTTTGCAAGAACTTAAAACTTAAAAGTTGTTAATTGGGGTCTTAATTTGAAAACTGGAAAATTTTAGGACCTAATGGCAACATTTGTGGGGAAAATTTGGCAAGAATTGCAGATAAGGTCTATTCGACCTTGAAAACTATTTTGCAACTGAGTCCCGGGTAAAAAATGAATCATTGGGAAAAATTAAGGGGTTTTTAGCAGAAGATTAAACTATTAAAGTTGTTCATCACACGTTGTCCTAACTCTCCATAAATTTTGACACGTTTCTAACGTCATTTGACATTTTTTCCGCATTTTTTCAAATTACGGGCTAAAACCGGGTCGAGTCTAGGATATCCGGGTTGAATCACATCTTTCAAGTAAATAGAGTAAGAACTGTTCCAAATGGTCCTCTTAAACTCTGAACTACACATCTTAAGCTTTCTAATGAAACTTGAACCATGTCAATCGGACTTCGTTTAATAAGCCAATTGGGTCTAAACAAACCTGCTTGAAACTTGAATTTTAATTGAATAAGTGATCCTCAAAAGGCTCACTTGCCCTTGGATGATTGATTGAGAAACAAGGTCACTTGGCTTAATTGCATGCTTAATTTGTCTCTTATCCACGTGTTTGCTAGATGGATGATTAGGCGTGACACTTGTTTGGCAGGTAACCTATCTTCGACACTTAGTTTCGACTTTAGAAGTTATTTGATATCGACCATTGTTTTGTGAAAGCAAATGGTTGCCGATTATTATTAACCATCAATTAATGAATTATAGTTGTTAGGAATGGGGGTAATCGAAATGTATGGAATGCAAAGGCTGACCCCGAGGCCAATCCATTGATTGATTTTGATGAACTTTTGTGCTTGTTTGTTTTGAATGATTGCTTGAGATTGTAAGAATGAATGTGAACGAATGAAAACCGACACCATGGATGTTGGCCAAGCGAGGCAATCCAAGGAGATGATGGTCGAAGCTTTGGAAGACGATGGCAAAAAACCAATGTCCAATCCTGTCTCAATCGCTTGTAATAACAAGATTAGCTTAGGCATTAATAAAAATTGGTTAGTTGAAAGATCACTAAAAATCTAAAAAAAAACCAATTGTAGTGTGCCCTTAAGGAATTTTCCCTCTCCTTTTATTCCATTCTGACAGCTTATAAATGTCGGCAAGGACAAATCAAAGCTTGTGACAAAGTGGAAGAAAGTTATCAACAAAGGAGTGAAGATCTGACTCTGGCCCGCACTACTCTCGAGAGTTATCGAACTGATGACTACACTCCTTTGCAGATCTTAACGACTCAAACCAGACTGGTTATTTGGCTTGAGGCTGCACGTCGATCCCTGGACTATACATTCCACGATGTTTGTCGTGACAGAGTCAATATCTCGAAGCAAATTATGAGCAAGAAATACGTCTTCATAGCTTTACTTCAGCGCTTAAGCAGCACTTCATGTAGTTCAGCACTTATTTCCAGCAATGTTAATATCCTAGGTGTTATCTTTGTCTTGATTTGTATGATCTGTCATCAAGTCTCTGGAGTACTTGCCATGCTATCTAATGACCAATATCCATAACCATAATGCAAGTTTCTTTTTCCTATTGTGTACTTTCTTCTGGTCCCAAGGCCACTCCTTTCCGCAAAGAGCTCTTTATTTTTTGGAAGGAGTTGATCTCCGGACTGAGCCTCACTTATGCCTATATAACCACCCAACCAAAGATCTTGGCGGAGATCCTTACCTTCATGAAGAGCGGTGAGGCGCCCAACCTACCACTGACCCTCCATTCAGAGTGGATTTCGAGGAATTTTCCCTCACATTTGACCACGGTCTCCAATCCTTCCTGAAGAACAAAACTAAGATTGATTCCTATCTGGAGGGTGATTACTGGAACAAAAGGAAGAAGGCTGAACATGCTGAGAAGGTTTATTATGGCCGACGCAAGATTCAAGAGGCAGCCCAGGAAACGCTCTCCAAATTGATCCGGTTGAAAGAAAGGACTCCCGTATTCCTCAACTTTGGAGCTCTTAATATTGCTAAGCTCTTAATATTGATAGGATGGACAACGAACTGGAGAAGGAGGGAGTACTTCAACTACCGGCTGTTATGGAAGAGGACATCCGATCCTCGGAGGAGTTAGCAAAGCACGTTGATGACCGAGCGGAGACGTGCTTTGCCTCTTACTTGAAGTTTGAGAAGGAAAGTGATGAAGGCTACTCCGCAATGCAAGCTAATTCCTCTGCTCACCACTGCGCCGTTGAAGAGAATAGACGTTTGGAGAGTCGCCTGTCGGGCTTCGTTGTTAAGTTCATGAAGCACATTGGTCTGGAATGACCATCTGGCGTTGTCCTGTAGCGACGTCCACGAATGTGTCTTCTTTTTGTTAGATTGTGATTGCCCAACTTTCCGCGGGTCAAATGTGTTTACTTCCTGTTGATACTACCGCCTTTCGATGTAATGTATCCGATGTTCCCATGAATAGAACGACCTCTTTGGATGTTCCAATGTTCAGTCTCTTTTGGCACTGTTCTCTGATTTCCTGCATTTGAATCGGGAATCTAACAACTATGCACCCACGACATAAAATTGGTCCTTGTTTCCTCATTATCACTGTAGTCATCACCATCATACATCGGTCATTTGAATTTTAAGGGTACATCAAATTCAATCAGTAAGGCCATGTCCTATAATACGTCCAATGTTCCCGAATTATTTGACAATCGATTTCTGGGGTTTTCCCACCCTTCTTACTTGGGAAAGGAGAGGTGGGGAGTTCGATTCCTCATTTCCTCATAGAAGTTAGGAATGAGGACGTTTAATTTTAGATGTGAGTTTCAACTCCCACGCTCTATAAAGAGGCAGAATAACTGAGAGTGGGTTGAGAGTTAGAGTAAGACAAAAAAAAATATTAATAAAGTCAAATTATTTTACTATTGTAACTATGTTTTAACTTTGTGTTTATTGAGCTTGGAATGTTCGTTAGAACTTTACTTTTAAATTATATATCTTCTTCTCAACATTTAAAATCTAAACTTATATAATCACTGGGGCTGCCCTAGTGGCCACCATTTCTAGATGGGAATGGGAATGTGGGGAGTTCGAAACTCCCCTCTTCTGGATAGGAGGCTTATGTGTTAACGGGGCTTCCTTATGTGGGCTCACGAGGGGCTAGCCAAGCTCTTCATAGGGGAGCTCCAAAGTTGAGGAATACATTTGGTCAACAAAAAAATAAAAATCTAAACTTATATATGAAGATACGGAAAAGTTATCCATAAATGTATGAAAAATTAAACTAAAAAGCTATGGAAACATTGAAATTACTTTCATTTGTCAAAGGATGATTGCAGCTTAATAACCTCTTAATATTGCTAGTTGGGTTGCTTCATACGACCGGGATTGGACATAATGCAGCAAGTAGATACACGTGCCCTCATGATGTACATGAATTTAACGTTAGATCAAATATCGAATCCTGTGAATTTTAGGCGACGGTATATCGGATTCGGCGGAGACTACTATCCAAAATCGTGGAATCATGCAAACATAACAAATCGATGCGACGTCCCAATGCAAAAAAAGGAGGGGGGGTGTCCACGTCCGTAGAAAAAGGTGACGTTAATTGCCCTGGCGGGACAGAAAATGGAACACAAAAAGGAAGCATCTTTATCATCCTCAACAGAGGAAAATAGACAGAAGCAAAAGCAAAAACAAAGGGTCGGAAAAAGAGAGAAAACAATAGAACAGAAAAGCCAGCAGCATCACGCACGGACGCCCTCGCATTGGAGACGAGGGACAAAGCTCGGATCTTTGTTTCCCCACACATTCCCCCCTAATGACATCCTTAAATCTTCCCAAACCGTATCTCAGTTCCTCTCTCTCTCTCTCTCTCTCTCTCTCTCTCCTCTGGGAAAACTGAATGGCATTACCCCACGTCTCTCTCTCTCTCTCTCTCTCTCTCTCTGCTCGCTCTTTCACTTTCCATGGATTGAAAGCTAAGTCTCTCTGTCGCTGACGCTCGAAAGCGAAAGTGTGGATGCGAAGCCAAAAAATTTGTACCCAGAAGTTTTAACCTTCAAGACCCAGCAACAATCCATGCCCACATGCCCCCCCCCCCCCCCTGCCTCCGAGGCCATCATTGACGTCGTGTCTCCGCGTTCTCGTCTTGTCTCTGTCGCTGTGACGTCGTTCCTGCGGTCCGGCTATATATGGGCGACATGGGTTTTCGTTTCTTGTGCCATGCGGGTGTCTGAATGTGGTCTTGTTCTTGGTTCATAGCGCTCGATAGGCAATGGGATTGTTCAGGAAGTTCTTTTACAAGAAGCCGCCCGAGGGGTTCTTGGAGATTTCTGAAAGAGTCTACGGTGAGCTTTTCTTAGTCGATGATTCAGGGTGCATTGTTTGTAGGTTTCACTTTTAGGAGCTTCTTTTCAGTTCATTTTAGACTGTTGGCTGTGGATGGATTGAAGTGGTGTTAATGGCGATAGCTTGCAAGGAAATTGTTTGGTGCTTATATTCGCTCTGTCACCATCTTAAAAGGAATTTCGGGGAAGCTATTTTGTTTTGGGCAAGTACACACCGGCGGTGGCAGAGTGAGCTTGATCTAATGGGACACTTGTATTTGTGGGATGATAAGAAATTACCTTAAATTGATTAGCACTGCCTGTGGAAAGAGTTTTCTCTTGTGTTGTTTGTTACTGAAATGCATAAGGCTATTTGTTCCTTCATTTTGCTTGTGAAGTGCTGGCGAAGTGAGGGAGTCTTGTCTTATGGACTACAGAAGTGGAGTTATTCCTCTTTCGGTAAATTCTTTGTTTGTCGAGCAGGATTTAATGCGCATTTCAAATAAAACCTTGTGAAAAGGAGTTCCTCATGAGGTTGCATTTATGCATCATTTCTGATCGAGTAGTTTCTTTGTGTGACTTTTAAGTTGTAGAGATCAACCGTCTACAGATTCTACATCCATGATGCGATTGAATGTAACTTGCGCTAAAAGGAGTTCTACAATGAAAGACTCTAGATGTCTTGCAATGAATGGATTTTCTGCAATAAAGGACTGTTGCAGGCACTCGCTCGATTTTCTTTTTTTCTATCCTTATAAAGTAAATTCTTAGAATTGCCAACATAACTCACAGTTCTTCGTACTCTATTTTTCTGAGATGTGCGTGTTACCTGTGGATTCACCATTGGTCCTCTAGGGAGTTGATTTGTTTATGTCCTGTTATCTTTTCGGAGGTATCTTGTATTTTATCATCTTCTCTAGGAATAATATTCACCGGTCTTGTTCATTTATGGTGGAATTGTAACTGCAGTGTTTGATTACTGCTTTACCACCGATGTCTTGGAGGAGGATGAATATAAAGTATACATTGGAGGCGTAGTGGGTCAGCTCCGTGACCATATCCCCGATGCCTCTTTCATGGTGTTCAATTTCCGGGAAGGAGAGAACCAAAGCCATATTGCCAATTTATTGTCTAAATATGACATGACTGTCATGGATTACCCTCAACATTATGAAGGTTGCCCCATACTTACCATGGAGATGATCCATCACTTCTTAAGATCCTCCGAGAGCTGGTTGTTACTCGGGCAACAAAATGTGCTACTGATGCACTGTGAAAGAGGTGGGTGGCCAGTTTTGGCATTCATGTTGGCGGCACTTCTAATTTATAGGAAGCAATATATAGGAGAGCACAAAACATTGGATATGGTTTACAAGCAAGCACCTCGTGAACTCTTGCAGCTGATGTCCCCTCTCAATCCATTGCCTTCACAGTTGAGATATCTGCAGTATGTATCAAGAAGAAATGTCGGCTCAGAGTGGCCCCCGCTGGATAGAGCTCTCACATTAGACTGCATTATACTAAGATTAATTCCTACTTTGGATGCTGAAGGGGGCTGCCGTCCCATCTTCAGGATATATGGACAGGACCCATTTATGGTCGCTGATAAAACTCCCAAAGTCCTGTTCTCGACACCAAAAAGGAGCAAACTTGTTAGGCATTACAAGCAGGTAGCTTTTCTTTTATCCTGCTTCATGGAATAACCTTATATCATCATATCTCAGAATTTCATCGCCTACTGTCATCGCTATGTCATAATTTCCTTCCTTGTGCTTTGTTTGGATTCTCAAATTATGCTTTAGACCCTAAAAATTGGATCACATCCTCACTTGTGGGAGAGGAGCTGCTTCTGCACTATTAGCGATACTTCTTCAACTTTTAAATGGCTTTCATACTTCTCTTCTCTGCAGAAAATTTTCTTTGAATTTTCTTGATATGAAGCTAATTCAAATGAAAAGGATTTGTTTATACCACAATGGACAGTTCATGCTGAATACATGCCAATCTGTGGTTAAACTCAGTTTCTTGTCTTTGATTTGCTATGGTCAAAATTATACATCATCTAGAGCCTGTACATCTTGGGAATAGCCTGGAGGTCACTCCATTGTGACTTCGAGGCCATACCTGGAAACTGCCTCTCTGCAGAAGCAGGGGAAAGGCGTACACCCAACCTCCCTAGACACAATGTGGGAGCTTCGTGCACTAGAACGCCTTGTATCTAGAGTGGAGACAGAGTCAAAGAAAGTCTGAGTCACGGCATGAAGCTTGAACTTCGAACTTCAAGAAAAACTGCTGTATCTCTAACCACATTAATGTATACAATCATATCGTGGTGGTCTCGGTTCAGAGAGTTGTTTCATTCCTATGCATTTCCTCGCTGGATGGTACAGTTAATTTTATTTGCTTCAAGGCACTTTGTAAGGGCCACTAGCAAGTCCTTCTCAATCATTAATTTGTTACATCAACTATATTTCCACTGATTATTGCATGCATTTCATGATAAAGTCAGCACAATGAGAATGTAATATGCATATATCTCAATACAGGCAGACTGTGAGCTAGTTAAAATTGATATCCATTGCCACATTCAAGGCGATGTTGTCCTTGAGTGTATTAGCCTGGATGATGGTCTTGAACGTGAAGAAATGATGTTCAGAGTGATGTTTAACACAGCTTTCATAAGGGCAAATATCTTGATGCTTAACCGTGATGAAATCGATGTGTTATGGAATTCCAAAGATCAGTATCCCAAGGATTTTAGAGCAGAGGTATGGTGTGTCCCTTAAATTAATTATAAACTGATGCGAACTTATTTTTCTTAACAACAATTCGTGTTCTTTAATTTGATTTTGGTAGATTCTTTTCTCGGACATGGATGCTGCTTCTTCTCTTATTCCAGTTGAGTTGCCCATTAATGAGGAGAAAGAAGGCCTGCCTGTGGAAGCATTTGCTAAAGTACAAGAAATCTTTAGCAGTGTGGACTGGACTGATCCAAAAGCAGATGTAGCACTTAATGTGCTCCACCAAATCCAGGCAACAAGTGTCGTTTCTGAAAAACTGAAAAGTGGTGGTGCTCAGTATGATGTAACGAATTTGTTGTTGGACTTAAGTCTGGTGAAGGACAGTGAAAAGCAGAAAGAACCTGAAGATAGAAGCGGGGATGAGGCTCCTGTGAAACACTCAACGCCTCCTTTAAAACCATCTCAAGATGATAGTACAACTATCAAGAAAATGGAAGCGCAAGAAGGACAGGCCCTCAAGCAGAAATCCATCTTTTCCTTAGAACCACCTCAAGATGCTGGCTTAAGTGTTCAAAAGGTTGAGGTTAAAGAACCACAGGTTTCTGCCCAGCGACCTGATCCAGCAAAGCTTATTTCGCAAAGATTACCTCGCACTTCTCTGTCTGCTCCTATTTTGAACGCTAATTCATTACAAGGATTGTCTGTTCCTGTGTCAAGGTATCATAGTGCACCTTCGGCTCTCGGCATTACAGCTTTGTTGCAAGACCATGCTGCATCCAACAGTGACGAATTCATCGATCCATTGACAAAATCATATATCCCTGCTATTTCGTCTCCCATGTTAAACATATCTAGGCCAATGCAGTCCCGTACAGTGTTGAATCCACCTTTGCCACAACCATTACTGGTACTGCCACAACGGCCACCTCTATCTAGTAATTCAGTCGGGCCACACACAGCTGTAGATAAGCTTTCTCAAAATGCTCAATTAGCCACGGAATCAGATGACTCCTTGCTAAGTGAAACCTTCGGGCCAACACTATCTCCATTAGATGACAATGCACTTGAGCAAGGTGGTCGGTCATCAATTTCATCCCATCTTTCACCTCAATCTTCTTTGTCAGGGCCATTTGATTTTCCTGCTACCAAGATCTCATCTCCACTTCCTCCTCTAGCTCCTGCTTCTCCATCCCTAGTGGAATCTTTATCCAACGTTGCAGAAAGCTTGTCTCCAAATACCTCTTCTCCAACCCATGTCACTTCAACTGTTGCCGCATCCATTGGCAACAACTCCTCTCCATCTCCTCCCCTTCCAGCATCTGAAGTTTCTGCATCAGCTGCTTCCCTCATTTCCAGGGTGCCCTCCACAAAGCGCTTGGCAGTTGTTTCCAAGCCCCGACCCCCACCTCCACCTCCACATCCTCATGCTGCCTTGGATTTTGGGACTGCAGCTCCAGTGCCTCCAGCTCCAGCTCCAGCTCCACCTCCTCTGTGTACTGAACCTGCCTCGGGTTTCGTGATTGCGCCTCCACCTCCACCTCCACCTCCGCTTCCTCCTAGTTCTTATCCTGTTTCAGGTTTCGTGACTACACCTCCAGCACCTCCACCTCCACCTTCACCTTCACCTCCACTTCCCTCTTATTCTGGCAGAGCCTTAGCTTCTATGGCTGCACCTCCTGTGCCTCCGCCTCCACCTCCTCAATCTGCCCCTCTGCCAGGTTTTATGGTTACACCTCCAGCACCTCCCCCTCCCCCACCTCGATCTGGTCTTCTGCCAGGTTCTACTGTCACAGCTCCAGCAGCTCCACCTCCCCCTCCTCCTGGCTGTGGACCTGTGTCAGGCTCTATATCAACACCTTCAGCACCACTTCCTCCACCTCCTCCTGGTTTGACACAGAGAACATCCATTTCTAAGAATTCTGCAACCATTCCTCCACCCCCTCCCTTAGCTCCTCTAGGTAAAGAGCTTTCAAAAGCTAATAGTGTCTCTCCAAATTCTCTCACTGGAGGGAATAATGGATCTGTACCTCCAACTCCTAATCCTCCAACTGCACCATTGAACCCAAAGGGGCGTATTTTATCGCGTTCAGGTCTGAGAAACCAGGTTCAACAAAAAAAAGCAAACCTGAAGCCTTATCATTGGTTAAAACTAACGAGGGCTATGCAGGGAAGCTTATGGGCGGAGGCACAAAAGTCTGATGATTCTTTAAAGTAAAAACTGTTCAATTTTCCATTTTTTTGTGCTCATAAGCAAATCAAGAGCTTTCCGGGCAGCCTCTATTCTATTTTCCGAAGTTTTTAATATCTATTTGTTAATTTTATACAGGGCTCCAGAGTTTGACATGTCAGAGCTTGAAAGCCTTTTTTCAGCAGCTTCAACTTCAGGTAGCACTCGTGGAAAATCAAGTCGTGCTTCTGGACGTAAATCTGATAAAATTCAGCTGGTACTTCTGCTTGTGCTGTCTTATTCTGTAATTTCGAACTTTTTCCATCGTTTATATGTCTTATTAATACTATATCTGTATGATTTACATCTGCTAGCCATAAACTAATCGGTTGATTTCCTATTTGCTATTTGATTTAAGTAACAATAACCAACCTTGTATCATCTTGAGTTCAAGCAGATCTCATTGACCTGCTGTCTGCTGAATTTTGCTGATCCATTTTTTACAAGTTTTGCATGATGAAATTTCTGATGAAAATTCCCAATGAAAATTCCCCTATTGTCGTCTCTTGGGTTGATGAGTATTGGTAACCCTGTAATGGAAATGAGGATACAGTAAAGCTAAGATCGTCTGCAGCTGCCAAATTGGCCGCGTGTTGGTTTGAATGAGAAGTTGATTCTTGGCAGTTGTTAACATAACTTGTAAATTAAAATGTAACTTGGCAGCTGCCAATGCCGCCTTTGCCTTTATTGCCCAAAAAGAGATTATTCTTGTGTTCTTATAGGACGGACCCATATGTGGTCTTCTGCCTATTTATTACTTTTTTTCTATCTTGTCACCAGTTTTTTGCTGGTAAGATTTCTGATGAAGTTAGAAGACTGTTTCTCACAGGTTGATCTTCGGAGGGCATATAACTGTGAGATAATGCTTACAAAGGTCAAAGTTCCATTGCCCGATTTGATGGTAAGCTAAATCTGACATAATTAAACAATTATTTGGAAGTCCGGAGTCTGGATGAAAAAAGGTGTTTCTGTGGAGTCTATGGGTGCCATGATTTAGATATATCCCTTCCATAGGATGGGGTGTTGCCATTTTATAAGCTAATCATTGCATGATTTGATATATGTCAAGAAGTCGAAAAGTTGGGCTGGAAATGTGTTTCTGTGAATTCTAAAAATGGTCACACTGTAAGATAAATATCTTTCATATGATGAGATGACGCTGTTGTCAGGTTATCAAGGAAACTGATGGTTTTTTCATCTTTCTGAGAAATGATGTGCTTCTATCCCTTCTCCAGTTGTTAACTGGATGGGCTGCTTCTACTCGTATTCTTATATGGCATCATGGCAGAATAAGATCAATTACATTGTGCTAACGATAAAAATTTGATCTGTAATCCATAGATTTGAGTAATGTTCAGTAATGAGCTGCCATGGTTTTGTACAGGGAGCTGACAATAAGATGACTTTTGCTCAATTGAATGGTGTAAATTTTCCTACAAAACACATTCTCTTTGGCATGTAGCATAATGTAGAGGGATATCAGTAAAGTTTACTCTTGGGAAGAAAATTGGGCTGGCGAAGTCTAACAAGGCAAGATAACATGACCCGAGTAGGAAAACTTCCCTGAACATACTGAGAGAGAGAAAATTGTAATGATTTCCAAGATGATATTCTAACTTGAATGACTTAAAAAAAAAAAACGAACTGGCATGTATATAACATGTTAAGAGTGAATTTTTGACATTCAGTGTTAACAAAAATTGGCACTAATAAGAAAGAACCCGTAGCATGCTAACATTAATTATTGCCTATCCTTGCAGTAAACTTGATTGATGTATTGCATTGTGCATTCCCATATAGGAGATTCTCGCAGATCTTATGAAGGCAGTTCAAAGAAACAATAACTGCAACTTACGCTTAGTTACAGCTCTGAATTGTGAATTATTTTCAGGAAAGATAGATGAACCACGAACAAAGTGGAGTTTTTTGGTAATGTAGTGTTGACCCTGCCTGTGGTGTGATGTGTATTGGGTCGTATATTAAAATTCATAACCATTGAGAACCATGCCTAGCAGAAGTTACTTTGCTAATAAAAAACTAGTGACTATGCAATAGTTCGATTTACATTGACATTGCTTTTGCTAGCTAATTTGTGTAAACCAATTACGGACTGATGGAATTTACTTCAACCTTTGCTGAAAGTTGTATTAAAGCTCATTTCAATTAACATGGCTGCTTCTCTTTCTAGATAGCTCTTATTGAAACTTAACAAAATATGGTTACTGGAAAAAATTTTCATGTGTCCTTTTCTCATTTAATGCACATGCATCCGAATGTCATGCAGAGTTTTGTCCTTGCCCTAGATGATTCGGCATTAGATGTGGATCAGGTCAATAACCTTATAAAGTTCTGCCCAACAAAAGAAGAGATTGACTTACTCAAGGTACTTTATGATATATGTACTCTGTCAACATGATTCTCTCTTTTTCATCCTTGAAAATGAACTTGTTGCATATTGATTATTTTGGTCTTTTCTCTTATGGTTTATCGTTTTCCTGTTCTAGGGTTATAATGGAGACAAGGAAAACCTGGGAAAATGTGAGCAGGTTAGTAATTTTCATTGTCATTTGGCTAATTGCGATATGAGTAAACACAAGATCACATCTTGATGTCCACTATTTATTGTTCTTCAAACTTTCTTCTTGCAAATCTTTATATTGATTATATGACACCATTGAGTGTAAGGCTATAGCAAATCATTTTATTAAATGGAAATCACCTTGAGGGAAACTGAAAACCAATGTTGAATGTGGATCTCCATAGTTGCAAATCTGTTAAAAGTCAAGTTCCTTGGCAACACCATTTTGCATCATTTGATAATGCTTCCATAAACGGTGAATGTCGATGACATTTCCCAAGTATATATGGAGTATAGCAAAGACTTTTGGAGAAAGGGCAGTTTAGATAGCAAAGCACTTTACAAGATCCAGAAGAAAAGTAAAGTGCTGTTCTGTTTTTAAAGAATTGAACCTATTCCTTCATTCAGTCATTCTTTTTTTTTTCTTTTCTCCATATAGAATCCATATGATAGAAATAAGCACCGTACAAGATAATTCTTCCAAAACTGCTTTCCTTAAGATGTTGACTTTGAATGGTCCAGGATAGATCCTACCATACAAATCTGTATGGATCCAAACGAAACAATACTATTGGCATGGCTGGAGTTATAAATGATTTTGTTGTCAATATGTTCAATATTGATTACTAATTGCAAACACTTACTTGAGAATTGGAATCCTTGTCGAGCAACATGATAGGTTGTTGATTTATTATCCATTTCCTTACTTTTTAAAGATACTTTGGTATGTTAATGATAAGTTGATTCCTGACCTTCCACCTTTTTCCTTTTTAATGGTTCTGGTTTTGTAGATGTTCGTGATTGTGCAACAAACCTCTTGCATAAATCCATGTTATAATATATACTTTGGTTTCAACAGTCTTGTTTATTATTTTGACAGTTCTTCCTAGAATTGCTGAAAGTTCCGCGAGTAGAGTCCAAGCTGAGGGTTTTCTCATTTAAGATACAATTTCATTCCCAGGTTAGATTCTTATTTGTGACTTAGCTGTGCCACTTGTTTATAAACTTTACTTCTATACTCCCTCCAGCAATTTGTTTGATTTACTTCATCTTTTCAGGTTTCAGATCTCAGTAGTAGTTTGAATGTTGTGAATGCTGCATCTGAAGAGGCAAGCCTTTTCTCCTTCCATCCTTCCAGCAAAAGCTTTGACTATTTGCATAAATATAACTCTCCTCCAATCTGATCAGATCAGGAACTCAGTCAAACTAAAGAGAATTATGCAGACAATTCTTTCCTTGGGAAATGCGTTGAATCAAGGAACTGCACGGGGTAAGCAAAATGTATAAGTTGATTCTTATTTTGTTAATCCTGCACTACATCAGAAACACTGCCAACCACCTTAATGAGAAGCAAAGAAGCATTACCACTTATGCTTTAGCAGAACAAAAAAAAGCCTGAATTTAAACATCGAAGTGATAATAAAAGAGCTTTATGGAAACTATGGAAGCTATTTTGCTCCAATACTACGACTTCATGTTGTTAACTTCACTGTTGCTTTGCCAAGAATTATTGAATACATGGGTATGTGTTTGGACTTGTTGAAGGAAAAACAAGGCAATTTCAATAAACTTGTAAAGCATTAAATGTATCCAATAATTACCTTACAGTATCAATAATGCAAAGTAAATTAACAACCCACAATTAGAATAATATAAAAAATATAGTCTTAGACTGATCCAACTGCATGAGCATCTTGCTAGTGAAAATATATAATTGGGGAGGCAATTGAGGGTCTAGCAAGATTTTCACTTAGAACTTTTTCTAATACAATGGATATATCTTTACTCAGAACCTTTTGTTTAGATACCACGTAAAATTCTGTGGAACAAGAACCAACTTTTCTGAAAGCTTAAGAGTATGAAGGTATGGTTAAATATTTAATGCTGTAGCAACGGCCTTTGCTCTTCTCTCTTCTAGTTAAGTTAATTATTCTATTTCCCTCTTTTTAGTTCTCTTGGGCTGCTATGTGCAATAGCAGCTCATGTAATTGACACCATGAGTTTTTTTTTTTTTTTTCATGTGCTGTTCATGATTCATTACTCTGCCCAAGCAGTATTTGTCACATCAAAGTACATGGCATGTGAATCACTTATGTGTAAATGTGCTGGGTATGCATCCATTGAGATTGATAGGGGAAGTGATCTTAACTTCTTGATTAACTTGACTCAACTTTCCGGCATTATAGCTTTGTTTCGTGTTGTTTTCCTGAAACTCGGCTCCTACCTGCCTACATTTTCATTGATATAATTCTGACTTGTGTAGGTTCTGCAATTGGATTCCGATTGGATAGTCTCCTTAAACTCACTGATACACGAGCCAAGAACAACAAGATAACTCTCATGCATTATCTTTGTAAGGTAGAACTCTGGTTCTCTTCTCTTTTAACCAAATTTGTTAATCCTTAGTCTCAAGTTCATTGACCTGAATAACATTGCTTGGTAGTTCTTGGGTTGGAGCAGCTGAAGTTAATACTTGTCATAACAACAGAAGTTCATAATCAGTAAAAAGGATTATGAAAAGATATTATGAGTATTGTGCCACTCCATGTTTGCCTGTCCCAAGAAGGTTTACTGAGATAGACTTGCACCAGCAGCCTTAATTTTTATGCTTAATGCAGTCAAATATTCACAATCAACTGGTCTGGGGAGACACCATTCAAGTACGTCTTACAAGGGAGGAACTCATCTATGATGAAATTGCAAGATTTTATTTTCATCCTTATTTGCATTTTTGGTGGGAATTAAAGCATCACTATAATAATGAGAGATTTCTCCATATGTGAAAAAAGTATGGAGCCAGTACCAAGTACTGCTATGAAGAAGGTTATAAATTTACAAAAGAGCAATGCATATGAACTTTTACAAAAAACTTTTTTATTGAGTGTTGGTGCAATTTCTTATTGGCTGTTTAAACAAGCAATCATTCACTTCATTGGTCCAGCTTGTTTCAATATCCAATTGAAACTTGGCAAATCACTTAGGAAGTTTTGATAAAATTCTTAGTACATTTAGCATGATCATTACAAAAATAACAGGTCACTAGAATTTTTAAAGTATTTCTGGTAGAAGGACAGCTTTCAGCATCTAAATTAGCAGATGATATGCTTACATCTGCCTTTTTAAATGGATTAGTGAGGAGAAATCTCATCCACCTATTGCATTTTTCTTATATTAGTACTTTCCGGAAGATGTCAAATTACCCTTGTTATGTGCAAAATTTAAAGAAAGAGAGAGAAATAATGCTATGAAGTTCAATTTTATTTCATTATATGAGATGGTACTGCAAAAATCCCGATCATTGAAAATAGAAAGCAGCTGATTCAGTTTTTCATTCTTCATTATACATTTATTTGTACGTCTCTGCATCGGCTTCAATAAGGGTTACCTTAAACTCAGCTTCTGATGAACATAGTTTGAACTGTGGCCCCTTCCCTAATAGTTTAGCTTGGTGGGGTGTATATGTCCCATAGGCCTTATTTTAATCAATTTGTTGGACAAACTTTAGGTGCTTGCAGAGAAGCTGCCAGAAGTTATAGATTTTCACAAAGACCTTATGCATTTAGAGGCTTCAACAAAGGTGCTTATTTGTTCCTCGTTTCTAATGTAACAAAGTTTGATTGTGTATATGCATTAAAGGCAATAACTTGGAATTTGCAGGTACAATTGAAGTTCTTGGCGGAAGAAATGCAAGCCATTAGCAAGGGGCTTGAAAAAGTTGTGCAGGAATTGGCTGCCTCTGAAAATGATGGTCCTATATCAGAAAACTTTTGTGAGGTAATTTTCTGCATCTGCTCATTCTGTCCTGCTTGATTTTATATGTGGGGTCCTCAAGTGGAGTATCGGACAGCATGATGCATGTAGGTGGCATGATGCATCTTGGTCATACGTGCAATTTGCACTGAGTTTTGTAGTGAATCTCTGGAATTTATTTTTCTCAACGCAGTAAGGCTAACACGGGCATGCTGAAGGGCATCCTTGTTGGTGTGATTTATGAATTCATCATATGCTAATATTGTCAGAGACCTCACTGGTTGTGATGTCATTCGCTGAGTCAGAGGTGCAACTTGTTTTCCTGACCTGACATAGCTCATGTAATTTGACTATTGAACCAGTGATATGGATTGTGAACTTGTCAACAGTACCACGCTACATGTCCATCACAATAAGTGCAAATGTAATGACCAAAGTCATGTAAGGCACACTGGCTGCTCAAGTGCTCAGGAAAGTGAGTTTGACACCAGCGTACTTCTTACTAGTTCAGTGAAAATCTGACTTCCAGGAAAGGTGCCTAGGTAAATGAAGAGTATAACATATTGTTGACTATCTCAAGTTGGGTTTTAGGCTTCTGGATAGTTTAGAGCAATGGCAATAGATTATTGAACAAAATCCAGTTGAATTGTTGAGGAAAGGAATTATAAATAATATCCCAAGAGCATTTATGTAGACCATCCATGAAAATCTAACTATTGGTTTGAGCTTGAGTTATTTCTTTGTTTGATTTGAAAATAGAAAGAGAATCAAATGAACCATTTGCCCTTTTAGGCAGCTGTTGGTTTCTTGTCTTTGCTTTCACTTCCTTGTCACAGGACCTCACCTTTTTACATTGGAACCTTCAGAATCTGAAGGAGTTTTTAGGTATTGCTGAGGCGGAGGTGAGGTCGCTGGCTTCGCTTTATTCCAGTGTGGTATGTACTTATCTTGTTTGTTCGAAGTGCTTGTAGGTAATGATGCTGTATAGTTCAGATGAATAAATTCATTGACAACTAAGTGTGCTTGCATTTGTCAATGTTTCCAGGGTAGAAGTGCAGATGCATTGGCCTTATATTTCGGGGAAGATCCAGCTCGATGCCCATTTGAGCAAGGTTATTTTAATTTTCTGGTTTTACTGAGTGCAAATTTGCATCTCCAGTGCGAGCAATTAACTTGTTTTGAGCTCATATGTTGGGAGGTTCGAGTTGGTCCATTGCAAACTTTGCTGAAGAGGACATGTTTGGATAAGAAGTGCATTTTTTATGCTACATAGATCTGCAAGTATCTTTTTTTTGCATAGAGCTATGGATCAATGGTAAAATAGCTTTAAAGCTTCAGTAAGCAGTGAGGCTTCAGCATTTTTCCTGGAATTTATCTGAGGAGAATGTGAGAAACTAGCATTGTACCAGTAGTTGGATAACTCTCCACTTTGTGTGATTTGTATCTACATAAAAAATTTCAGGCTAACAAGGGGGAAAGATTAACTTTCCTAGGACACTTTTAAGGTAGATTCGCGATAGAAGGACGTTTCGTTTTCCCTATCTGCGTCTTGTTTTTGGCAGATCTTGCAGAAAAATGATGTGTAGATTAAAAGAAATAATCTTCACGCCAATATGATGCATAGATTGGAAAGATATCTTGAGGATCCTTCAATAAATACTCTTTTACTCTTCCCCTGAAGAACCTGAAGTTTGATTTCTTGCATGCACTTTGTCGTTCTTTCTGAGTATAAATTTTCTTCATTTAGACACATGGCTGCCAAGTTTCATGTCATCTAATATTCCTCTTTAGCATTTATTCATTTTCAATTGTCTTGAACTCTTGGCAGTTGTATCGACTCTGCTCAATTTTGTCAGAATGTTTATACGGGCACATGATGAAAACTGCAAGCAGTTAGAACTCGAAAAGAAGAAAATGCAGAAAGAGGCTGAAACACCTAAAATGAAGATGGGTGCTCTTCAGGCAGCTTGAAGTATTGGAAGATCGTTCGAGGAATTGCAAAATGCAAATTGAGAATAGGCGACCCTGGCAACTGCTCGGTCTGGACTTGGTGTACTGAAAATAAGTGGCATCCATCAAATTGTGACAATGTGAAAGTGCATCATTCTCATCTCGAGGATTAGAAGAAGCTTGTGCACTTGAGAGAGGTTCTCATTTCGTGTACAAGGTAAATGGCTGGCAAGTATATATAGTGAAATGTGCGATCCAAACTGGACATCTGTGGCAGGTAGAGAGGAGTAGATCTGACAGCAACAACAAGCCGTAGAGAAGACACAAGTAGTTCTCAGATTGACAGAACACGTGATCGCTTCTTGAGTAAGAAGCTTATCGCCGTAACCATCATCCTATGCTACCATTTGGGCGATACAGATCTGCCCGGTAAATAATAGTTAATTTGCTTCTTGATTGGCTCAACCGCCATATATCTGATTTTGTTGTAAAAATGTTAGCATCAGCAATGATCTTGTTCTTTATCCAATTCATTGTTAGATAATTCGTTTAGTGTTCATTCTGTATATCAAGCAAATTTTGCTGCAAGAATTTCATCAATGGTGAGTAGCCAAGCAGTTATGCAGTTTCGATCTTCGAACATTAGTTTCAAATGACTTAGTTTGGATGCCAAGTTTCGAGTCATCTAATAATCAAGTTGTTTTTAGATGATCGTTTGCTCTAATAATGAACCATGGCTTGGAAATCCAAGATAGCTTGATTGGATCTCCACATTGGTATTTGCAAAATGACAAAGTCGAGCTCAAGTCAACCATATGTAAGTTTGGTGAAATGTTATTATCTTGAAAGCTTAAGATGATGGATCCAAAATAAAGGGATATGCGCATCGAGATTGTTCTGTTTTTCTTTTTGGTTCAGACCATGTATTTTGTCGATTCAATGAAGTCATCAATTTTTTCTTACACCGAAGTATCCGAGTAATGGATTGGTTCGGGAAATAGCGCCAATTGTGTGAGAAATACACATATTTGGAGGAAACAGAAATTGAGCACGGGAGCGAGACTATCTCTCCCGCGTACTAGACGCGCAATTAACGATCTCGAAAGCTCAGGTCGATAAAATAACAACAGAGTGCTTATCCTTAGTGAGCAAGGAAGAGCCGTATCTGCAAGAAATATTGCATGTGGCGGCATCCATCATTCAATTTTCTAGTAATTTCCGACGTCTCATTCAACAAGAACATGTGAAGGTCTAAACAAGAAACTTGTTTTGTTCTCGTTGGTCAGTCTTTACCCAGGGGGGGCCACACTGATTGCCTGCGTTCCGTGTTCGCACGGGCAAAAACTGCAAAAAGTCCGAGAAGCCAAAAAGTCTCCCTAGCGTCAAGCCATAGGAACGCCCCTCTCTCTCTCTCTCTCTAACAAGAACAAGAACCAAGAAACAAGACGACGACATGACCAAGAAGTGGGCAAGATGTTTGCCGATGGTGGAGTCAACATATGCGGCTATGCGTGTATCTTTTCCTACAATGTTCAATGTAGAAATATCATGGATTCCTTTTCTTGTTTTGTTGGTTGTTGACTTCTTGGGTGTTCTAGGCGGGACCAGTCGAGAAAGAGAGGATCGATCAGTGTCGTGTCGTTCTTCGTCGTGCGTGACCGATCCGGTGCGATTCCAATTGGCGTGCTCCAAGTTTGTGGGGGATGTTTCCTAAGGGAAAAAGGGACCCAATTTCGACTATTTTTCCAAAGGAATACGACCCCTAGGAATGGCCACAAACCGCCATGACCCCTTAACGCAGACCTCGCGGTCGTGCTAATCGGACATCGTGTTTCTCGAACTTTGGGAAAATCTCGACGTTCGAGGAAATTCCCGAGGTCGATCGATGTGACATTCACTTTCAATGGTTGAGATTTGTTAACTAGTTGGCTTTTTCGTCAGTCGGTGTCATCCAATGGCTGATAGTTGGTAATTGGTACTAGGTCCATTGATGGTAGACAACCCATTTTCCTAATGGGAAAATGACATAATTGATCATGAACTTTGGTCTAGTATGCATTGTTGTCCTTAAACTTTTAATTTGTTCAATGTAATTCATGAACTTTCGGTACATGTTCAAATTAGTTTCTAGATATTGAATCCAAGGATATCAAAAGTTCAGGGAACACATCGAATAAATTAAAAATTGAAGAACGATATTACACATTGGGCTAAAGTTCATGGACCACATTGAAGAAAATAAAAGTTCGGGAATGATATTGCATATTGGGCCAAACCATTTGTTTACTTATCCCTTTCTTTTTTCTTCTTTACACGAGTACCGTCGATTTCATGATTCGTGTACATATCCGGTCGCCATTGTTATCTTATAATAAACACGTATAATGAGATCAGCAGTGCTCATGTCAAAAAAAAAAAAACATTTCTCCATTGTCAGCAGCACTTGAAGGAAATTTCCAGAAAGAAATGTAAGCAGGGATGTTGCTTGAACTCTTTCTTGGACTTTTATACCAAGGTGAAGGTGGGAATTCCCTATCCTAAGTACATGTTAAAAAGAAGTTTAAAAATTTTGTCAGGGAAGTTGGGTAATATCCCCTATTAATTATGCAAATGATGTCTTTCAAATGAGTAGATAAAATTATGTAAATATATATTTTATCTGTAAGTCCAGCCAAAGAGACATCAAAGTTTCTCTGATGAACTCCTTAAAAAGGATTTTTGTGCCTTTTTTTTTTATCAACCTACATCATTAGTCACCAACATTATGAATGATTTTTAGTTCGACTAGTAAATAGAGAATTTTATTTTCTTTTTGCGAATGCAGAGTTTTTTCATTTGGAAATGAAAAGAAGCGCGCACACAAAAAAAGAAAAAAGAAAAAAGGGAAAGCTAGTGGAGGGAGAAAGAAATTGTGAGGAAATAAAGAAATGTGAAGGGAAAAGAAACCTAATTAATCTAACAAATTGGAATATGTGTCAAATGAGCAGATAGCCGTGTCCAACCATACCTACCCCCAAAAGCGCTGGAACTACTCATATGTGTCAAATTGGAATTGCGGCTGAGCAATTCATCACGAAAAAGAAGAAATAGGGGAGGAGAGAAAGAAGATGAGTGGTAACAATGAAAGAGAGGAAATTGAAAAAATTAAGCAAATGGCATCGTTTCGCTTAAGTTTTTCCATGTTAGGCATCTTTTATGCTGTGTAAAACAAACGATCGATGATGACTGGACAGCCACGTCAGGATTTTCAAACGAAAATTGATTGGAATGACTATATTGGAATTTCATGAAAATGTTCATGATTGAGTTAACAAAATCAAAAAGTTTAAGACTAAATTGGTATCAATACAAAATATTAAAGACTGATTTGGTAATTTTTCCATTAGATTAGTTTTGGTCGCGTATGTTTGAATGTGTGCTATTGTTATTGTAGTGAATGTAAGAAGTAAAACTCGCCTCAAATAAAATAGATGTAGTATAAGCAGATGAACACTCTGTCGTCAAATCACCCGACAATATGCAAGCTACTCAAATTCGACTAAACCTCTAAGCAATCAAGTCGAGTACAAGTAGCTTGTACTCAAAATAAGCTCGTGAGCAGATCAACTTGATGTTCGCATCTTCAATCCAAAACCGACCATCGTCATGACCCGACCATCAAATTCAATCCTCGAACTATATGTAAATCACGCTAAATACACAACTCCGATGATGCCCTGTCCATTCACCACTTCTCAATTCGGGCTTGGTCGAATATCTTTCCCGATATCGCAGCCGCGAGGGCTGCCGTGAAATTGGGATCTCTTTTCAAGGAAGAGGCCATCTGCTGCACCAGAAACTGTTGAAATGGCGCCGTTCCTTCTGTTTCTTGGCCCGGTTTTGCAGATAGAGTGTCGAATCCTGGGCGCATCAAATCCGGAGTATTCCTAGGACTAGGAGATCTCGACTTCGAGGGCGATGGAATTGGAGGGGTGCCGTGATTCAGCCCCTGTTTTTCAGAATATAGTGGAATCACGGGCTCAGACAGGCCCGGGTGGTTGTGCTCTCCTTCATATGTGGCCACTAGGACGGACGGGTCATCAACACTTTTTTGTACCTGAAGATGCAAATGAAGCATGAGAGTGAGATTGAATTCGTTTGGCTACTTTTCATAGATCACGCGATTTCTTGATTTATTTTTGGACTGTGACTGAGTGTGGTCTCCAGAAAATAATTTCTAAGAGGTATAACCAAGCTGAGTTACCTTCTTTTTAACAGAACAAGTTGGGGCAAAGGAACATCTGTAGTAAGCTCTTGGAGAGGGGTTGTCTCTTGTGACCTTTTGACCATATTTCCTCCATTGATAACCATCCTTCACTACCTATAGCAAGTGCAAATTCACAAAGCAAAATAAGTGGAAAAAGAATCAATACAGTGGAATTCACTTGGTACTTAGAGAAGATGAATTTCTTCATGCCGACTCTAAGCTAGAGAAACACGAAAAAATGTTCTGTGTTGAAACTAAGATCTTACAAGGCTCATGTCAGACGCATCAGTTCGGAAATGGATTTTAGAGATCTTGGGTTTGAAGCTGTCCTTTGGCTTCTTGAACATCGGATCTTCGTCGTAACCACAACTCTCTGCGGCGACATTAGCTTCATGCTTCCTTTTTCTTGACATGCTGAGTTCACTTTCGGAGGTTCTATTCTCCATGATAATCAATTGGTTTCGCAGCGCATTGTAGCTCTCGTGCATAAGGGTCAGCGTTTCGGTCAACTTCCTGTTCTCGTGGCTAATTCGGTGATACTCCTCGACCAGTGCACTGGCCTATACACAACAAAACAGATCATCTCTCAGGTTTGATCTTGGTATTTCAAATATTCCAGTTCTAAGAATCGGTCGCAGGGCTTCTTCAACTTCATTGTTTTAAAAAATCGATTCTGCTCTATTTTAAATGACGTTGGTCAGCTACACTTTTCTGGAAGCGCAGGTTTAATTTGACTTTGCCTCTTACCATTTCACTTTCCCTATTGGGCACTGTTGTGACTTCTAACGGAGTTGTCTGAAAAAACTTGAAATTTAGGCCGGTGAACAGCAATACATAGCTGGAAATTTTGCCACGCGCTTTGCGTGAAATGCTCATGTCCATTTTAGAGGGCGAATATGTTGGTTCGCAGACACATTCTCGGCTACTCTAATAGCTGCCCTGGATTCCGATTTCTGTGACAAACTTATTAACAAAAGCAATCGTGTCATGCGGATGACCGAGATTTGGAGTGGAATTTGCTGTAAATTATTGACGATCAAATCAAATACTCGAGAAGAGACTCTTCGCTCTCATTCTGGACGTTAACTGCGTATGTTAGCCATAAGATCTTCATATTTTATAAATATCTCTAGCAATATTCGTATGTCTTGATGCAACTTCTATTGTAGATGAACTCACCTCATGCTTAACAACGAGCTCTTCTCCTCGCCCTCCTCGAGAGTTATCATTTTCCGGAACAATTTCTTTCTTCTGATATAAAAGAAACCGTGAAGAAGAAGACAGACAGTAAGCTGAACATCTGAAGATGTTTCATTTATTTTCACCAAAAAAACAAACAGATAAGATTGGTCACTGCATATCTTTGCAAACATAGGTCCATCTTACCGGATACGACGTGCTAAGCTCTAGGGAAGTGTCCACTATCCAATTGGATTCCATCGGATCTCCGCTTGACGCCATCAAGAACCGGAAAAAGGAAAACCTGGAGTGATGAAGTTTAACTCAGAAATCTTTCAGAACAGTAGATGAAGGGACGCACACAAGAATGGCGTTGCAATTTATAGCCAGCTTGTTGGTTGAGTGAAGAAGACAGAGAGAATAAAAAAATGAGAAAACAAGAAATGTGTACACGTTAAAGAGAGTTGCCGCGAAGTATCGTTTATGTTGGTATCCGTCGACCTCTAGGAAACCAGAAAATAATAATGAGAAAGAAGTAAAACTAAGAGAAGGGTCAAGCTCGGGTCTAGACCAAAAAGGAATTCTAGTTGTTTCCAAAATCAAGCGGGACCCAATGAAAAGTTTACTTTTTCGCAGCCTGGATTTATTTATTGACTTGACTTTCAATGGTTTTGCTTAACTTTGAGCAGAAATTTGTACATTCTTTTAGATAAATTTAGGCAATATATGACCACTTGATTAAGCGAATTATAATATTCGACCCATCTTGGATTTGCCCTAGGGGTAAGAGTGCTTCCCCATCACGCGCATAAGAAGCGGAGAGGTTTCGCACTAGGAATGTTGGTCCGTTTTTAGATTATGGCGATTGTGTGATGATCTAGATTTTGTTATCAGTTCTTTCTCTCTATAATAAAAAGAGGGAAAATTGTCTGATCATTCCTAAACTTATTATACAGATGCTAATTCAGTCCTAAACATTTCAATTTTGCAAATGTTGATCTTAAACCTTTGCGTAAAATTTCAGTATAATCTTTCCTGTAAATTTTCGCTAGAAGCTAACGTGATAGTGTGCCACGTAGGACGACCGGTGATGATTTGATTGTTACGTAAGTAATTTTCTGCAAAAATTGGCAAAATGGACTACATTGGAATTGCGAGCAAAAGTTAGGGCTAAATTGACAAAATTGAAAAGATTGGAACTGAATTGGCATATGTATAATATATATTTATAACTGGTTTAGTAATTTTCCAATGAAAAAAAGGAAAGAAACAACATCATCACGTGTTTTCTTGTCCGTTTGAACAGGAGGGCTTGTTTGAGCCCAACATGGTCATAAATGATGTAATTTCTCAAAGTGTCAAAGGTATAAACCTAGATATTTCCTTACAAGACAAGACCACCAGCACCTGGAAGGCTTATCCAAGATGTGGAGTGACATATGGTTATATCCTTTGTTACGCAATCCCATGTTTATCTAGTTTTCTACCAATTCACATTGGGTGGTTGACCAAGTGTTTGATTCCCCCCGTGGTCGACTTACATAAGTTGCTGCGGTTGGAATTTGGCTTCGGGTAAATTTGCTACTCTGATGCCCACTTTGATTTGTAATTTCACTCTAATCACTAAACCCACAATATTCATCATCTTTAATTCATCACACTATTCAAGTAAAGCCGATAACAAATTGCCGACATGGTTATTATCAGGCGATTTGAGATTTATTAATGAATCTGTTATCGAATCAGCTCCTGTTGTTCAAGATTCATTAGTGAATTCTTTCATTTATGTCGCCATAACCATCTTGTAATTTGATTCTAGGATTGTGGAAGATCGTTTCAAGGGCTACTTAAAGAGTAGCTTGCTCTCACAAATTAAAGTTCCGTGACCAAAGTTATAGTATATGAGTGATAACTAAGAGAGTGAAACATAATCCTGTCGCACAAGAACTTAGTAAACAACAAACCGATGAAATATGTTCATTTCTCTCACACAAACATAGATCTTCACATCACTAATAAAGAAGATGAGTTAGATTTTTTAAAGTGGCAAAATAAGGATTCACATATTTGTCATGTACTAGCTTCCATCGAAATTAGCCGATAGGAATATCGAGGCATAATACAGGCTCGATACACATAAGTGAAAGAACAATGATGAACTGCTGCCTTATAAAGAAGGGAAAACCCATATAGATGCGGAAATGCAGGAACCGAACCTCAACATCTATTGACTTTGAGTTGAGTGAGCTATTGTTGTTCTAAAACTTTAAACTTTAAGAAAATGACGCAACATTTAGGATATGTTTGTTTGAGTGAAAGAATTTTTTCGCTAATTATTTTTTTTGGATTTTCACGCGTTTAGTTTGCTGAAAACAATCTGTCAAAAGAAAACCCTTTACGGTCAATAAAAATATGTATGCTTAAAGTTAGGAAAATGAATTTCCTAATATGAAAAGGGTAAAAACATTTTCCCGAAAAATAATTTTTCGAAAAACATTTTCCTTTACGAGAAACTTTTTCTGGAATCAAATACTTCCTTATTTTATATCTTATAATTATAAATGCACAAAAATGTTCTCTCCAGGTCAAGTGACACGAAACGTGAGCAATGATCCACCATCAAGTGAATCTAGAAGCTGATGATGAAACGATGCAACTCGAATCTTCGCAGAAAGAGATGAATATGGCGACAAGCGGTGTCCGAGTCGTGTATTGACTTCCAAAGGCGCAACACGGTTTTCATTATCATTACGGCTTGGCCCTAAAAACGTCAACTGAGCCAAGACTCCATTTCTGAAAGTTTCCATGTCTTGTTGGGAAGACATGAGAGGAAGTGATGTTGACAGCTTCGTTCTCGTTTCAAAGTGGTTTTCTCTGGTCAGAGACTGGAGATTTTTTTGCCAAAAGGCCAAGAAAAGGTCATAAGACTCATCGAGCTGGGGCCGCGTGAGCTGAGCGTAAGAATGATGTCATGAACATGTTGTGAGTGTGTAGAATAATTTACCTCATAAATTTAGAGAATTTCATGTTTTATAACAATATCCACAAGATCCTATATATCTAGGGGCAAGAGGGGCTTCATTGTGTTTATGAAATGTAATAGAGGAAAAACATAATTTATGTGTATTTGTGGAGATGTATGAAGATCCTTTCCATTTTTTGCACCAATTCCCCCCTAAATTTCTTACCTTAAAACCTCCCAACTTACATTTCAAGACAAAATATAACTTGGCAAAGTTTGTAAAAGGTTTGTATCATACTATTTCTTATGGAGGTTCGTATATTCATCACAATGCTAGTACATTCCTAAGCTCGTTGATAAAATTTGAAAGAATTTTGTAAATTACTAACTACACTTGTAAAATTTGAGAAAGGTTTGTAACTTACTAATTTATTAGGATGTTAGTAACCTCCTTATAAAGTTGGTATTTTACTTGCAACACTTGTAAAATTTGAAAGAAATTGGTAATTTACTAATTTATTGAAATGTTGATAAATTTCTCATAGTGCTGGCAGTTTGCAAACCACGCTTGTAAAATTTTAATAAGATGGTTACTTACAAATTTATTGAGATGTTGGTAAATTCCTTATATGATAGATATTTTACTAACAATACTTGCAAAGTTTCAAAGAAGTTGATAAGTTATTAATTTATTCACTCATATTAGACCTATTAAAATGGGTCATAAACCCATTTCTTAATCCATATTTGATGCGTTGAGTAGTTTATGGGTTAGTTAAATTTAGCAAATGGATCATAAATGGATTTAAAATGATAATGCCCAAAATAATATGTATGTTAAATGGGTTCACAACTGACTGAAACCCAACACACCTCTATCACTCTCTTTACTCTTTCTCACCCTTACTCTCGCTTACTCCACACTCTCATCTCAATTTTGGTATGAGTTTTCTTAAATTAGGTTAAATAGAAAAGCGTTTCAGCAATATGGGTTGAATTGAATATGGATCACTAGATTTGTATTACATAGAAATTGGTCAAAATGGGTTGTATTTTTCAATCCGACCCACCCGTTTTACTGGTCTAACTGGTATTAGAGGTGATCAGTTCCCAGGTGGGACCATTTCCACTCTGGAACTGGGAACTGCCCACGAAGGGCCGGCTCCACGAGTTGGGAACTGGGAACTATCCATTGGTTCCCTAGACCCACTGTGGGTCGATGGAACTGGCCATCACTGAGGTCCTCATTTTCTTCCAAAACCAGTTGTGCCTCCGCCTCTGTTGCCTTCCTTTACAAAACTTCAAGAACCAATGCTCAATTCTAGAAGGCGTCTTTAGCTCCATAACCACACCGATGATCAGCCTGCTTCCAAAACCCATCAACACAATTTTCCAGTCAAATTCCTCGGACATTGTTAGAGTCCTCTTCAGGGACCGCGCAACATGGTGGTGATAGTGGCGCTTCAACACTATTTCCACATTTCTTCGTCAGAGGAACTTCGCCCTGCCCTTAGTTTCCTAACATACCATGACAAAACCAAACCAGACGAAACAAACTAGAAACCAAGACGCAGAGCGAGAAACAAAATTAGGGCAAATAGGCTGCGAGAGGTGAGAAGCAAATTGGTACCTCAAAAACAGTCAAAGCCGAGAGTGAGCGAGATTGAGAATGAGCAACGAGTGATGAGCGTCAAATAACTAAAATTAATTTTTAAATATATATATTATGTATGGTTTGGGTAGGTGGTTCCATATCTGAAACTGAGAACCGGACTGATATCCACTAGTCTAGTTGTAAGGAAGCGGCAACCAGACCGGTCTCCACGGGAATCATCCAGAACTGGCCGATTCGATCCGATCCAAGCGGTTCCCGGTTCAAACGGTTCCTTTTGCTCACCTCTAGTATTGATAATTTATTAACTACACTTGTAAAATTTGAAATAAATTGGTTAATATTGATTCACTTGGAAGATGGTAAATTCATGATAGTGTTGAGGAATACTTGACAAGCGAAACCATCAGCTGTTGCCATTTTCGAATTTCTCGTTGCCATTAGCTATGATCCCTCTCTACATCAATCAGTCCAGATTGGCCACAAGCCACTAGATGTGGTGGCCATGGTTGCAAACTGAGAGCTCTAGTGGCCATGGTTGCGAACTCGACCTCTATCGGGGACATCGTCAGCTCGGAGCTCAAGCAGCCATGGCCACAAGCCCAGCGCTTGAGGCCATGATATTACGAGAGAGGGTCTGGTGTGGGTGTAGGTGAGAGAAGCAGGAGCGGACTTTTGGAAACAGGAAATGACAAATTCTTAAGTATTTCGAAAATTTTGTTGAAGTAAGGGTGCCAATATGTATTTAGATGAAACATAAAGTACGCTTTTTTGTATTTCCCCTTTTCTAGAAGTTCCATTTCCTCTAGTTCCCTTTTCTTGT